GACAATCTTCTTTCCTTGTGGCTCTGACAGTCTTGGTGGTTTGGGAAGAGGTGCAGCCTTCAAAGAAATACCTCTTGATATTGTAGACTCTGTTCAACTGGGAAGACATCTGAGACTTGCATACTCCATACATGGCTGTTCTACAACATGCCCTCAACTAGAGTCTATTCCACAAATTTACACTAACACAACAAAAATAAGACTTCATTCACAGAAACCTACTTAACTCTCTTCCAAAGTTCTGAGCCCTGAAAATCCAAAGCTGAGGCAAAGGGATTGAATACCAGGACTCCTGGATTCCACACTCTGAGACTACCACCAAGCCCGGCCACCCACCTCATTCCTGCCTCTCCCAGTGAGGAATCCCAGTAGAAAGTTTAGTTGGGTCAGACTAGCCATAAGCCACAAAATCTCTCTGGAGCCAAACAATCACAGTGCAGAGAATGATAGGTAACTGCCACCAATGATCAGAAAGGTCATGGGATAGAATCACAGTCCTATTTGGCTCAGCAAGCAGGAGACCCAATTCCAGAGTCCAAGGCCGAGCACGGGTGATGCATGCCTATAATACTACCTACTCAGGAGGCAGAGATCAGGAGGATCGTGGTTCTTAACCAACCAAAGTAAATATCTTGAAAAAAAACCCTTCACAAAAAAGGGCTGGTGGAGTGGCTCAAGGTGTAGGCCCTGAGTTCAAACCCCAGCACACAAACACACACACACACACATACACACACAAAAGAAAAAATATGTTCAAGGATCTTCTCACACTTAGTTTGTTTCTAAACTGGGACTCCTGGAATGTTCTCTTTCCACTGAGACTGCTAAGGAGACAGGATGCTGACACCCAGCTCAGAAACCTGTTGAGGATGAAGCTAACTCAGTGGAGAAGAGAGAAGACAGTATTAATTGAATGCGTGGATGCGGCTAAAACTCTGAAGCCCTCCCTCTAGCTCTAGACTTTCAGTAACCTGAGTCGACTGATTGGTCCTAGCTCTTGCCTCTTTTTTTAAGTTCTGCAGTGGAACTGCTAGAGAGCAAAAAAAAAAAAAAAAAAAAAAAAATCCCCTTTTAAACTACTTTGACCTAAGGTCTACAACTTACGTTTTTCGAGAGCTGGCTGGTATGAGCTACTTATTCTGCTAATGCTTACGCTTATAGGCAAGACATTGTTCTAAGAACTTCATGACAGTTCTACGAGATAGGAGATCATCGTTACCTTCTATGGAAACTAAGAATTAAAGAAGTAACTTGTCCTAGGTCACAAAACTGTGACAATGTGGGATACAGATACTATCCCAACCAATCTGGGATACCTAACGACCACACTATAATTCTCCCATGCTCCCAACCCTATCTGGACAGAAAATCCTGCTCTGATCCCTGACACTATTGTCATGGAACAGAGATACACCACAGACTTCTACTGTTCCACCTGTCCTGTCCTCCATTTCATCACAAGTAAAATGAGGATAATCGTCGTTCACCTACCTCATAGGGGTCCTACGAGCATGAGATGAAACACAGATAGGGCACTTCCAACGGTGCCTGGCAGTGGGAAGCACTCAGTAAACAGTAGTCACTTTGAGAGTCAGTGAAGTGCAGCTGGGAAATACCATACTAATGGAAGACTTTGTCTTCTTTCACCTCTATCCAGAGGTGAACAGAAGTGACATCATGGGAGACAGAGGAGGAGCTTGCTTGTCTTTGACCCACTGCTGAAGCTGTTTCCTCTGCCTGGGCAACACTTCATCAGTGTTCCAATTCCCAGTCCAAATACCAAGTAAAGGGCTTCCTCTCACTGCTGGGTCCCCACAGCATAGAACTAGTACCCCATGTTCTGTCTGTGTACCTGCCCCAGGCCTCCCCTGAACTGTGAGCTCCCTGAAGGCAGGCCTCAGTGTTTACCCTGCTTCCTCATGGCTCTAGAGAGAGAGAGAACCCCCTCAGAGGTTGAGGGGGGACTGAGAAGCCAACCAGGATGGAGGCAGGTCACCAAGAATAGCCCAGAATCCGGAGGCTGCATGAAGAAAAGTCCTAGTAACTCATACAGGACCTATCTTTCAGAGAGGAACAAGACCATCTCTGTACTCCCAGAGCCCCCAGTATAGTGAGGATGAGTGGGCAAGTCACCATTATTTTCAAGGGAGGAGGTGAGCAGTACTCCAAGAGGCACAATGAAGAGTACTTAGCAGTTAAGACAGAATGAACACTGGAGGGTGCCGATGTGGAGAGGGATGATGAGGAGATGAGAGGGATGTGTGTGCAAGGTGGTGTGTTTCCAGCAGAAACACCAGAGGCTGGGGGTGGGCAAGAGGGGCAGCCAAAGGAGAAAGTGCTAAGGAAGATGTGAAAGGGAGCCACTGAAAGGCAGCTTGTGAAGAAATTACTCAGAGGGTGGGGTGACCTTGTAGAGAAGCCAAGGAGGGTAAGGATCTTTCTGGAGGATAGGGACTTTAATAAGCAGACTCCCAGGAAAATGGGCATGTGAGGCAGGCTTAGAGGCACACCTTCAGGAATCTTTCAGGGGCTGCTGTGGGGACAGGGGAATCCTGCTAGAGGGCAAGGTGATGCCCTCAATTACAATCATCAGGAGCATTTGCTAAAAACTCAAGTTTGCTGGGTCCTGATCCCAGGTTCTGATTCAGTAAGTCTGGGTGGGATCCAAGAATGTGCATTTCTAACAAATGCTGCAAGGCCAGACACCATACTGTGAGAACCAGAATTACAGGGGAAGGGGTTCTTCAGTGAGGGGCCCCTCAAAGGTGAAAAGGAAGAAGGCTTCTGAAAGGAAAATGGGGGGAGTCCCCAAGAAGTCTCTAAGGAGGGCATAAGGGTCTTTCTGACTCTGAAGGAAGGAAAGGTCTAGGAAGGCAGGCTGAAAAAATGGTCTGAGAAAAATCTCTGAGCACTAGACACAGAGGGGAGACGGAGGAAGGGAAAGAGGGGAAGAGAGAGAAAGATGGATCTTTAAAAGGAGATAGAGAGGCTTGGGAGGGGGGAGAAGTCTGGAGGATGTTGGGGCCTCTGGAAAGATAAGGGGGGAAGGAGGCTCAGAGCCCAGAAGGATCTTACTTGTTTTCAGAGGAATGAAAATAGAGGAGATGCAGGACTGTAAACAGTGGTCCTAAAGGGAATAAATGTGACAAGAGTCCTGAGCAAGTCTTCTTCAGGATGTCACAGGGGGAGTGTGAGGGACAGTTCTGAGGAAGTTTCAGAGGGCTGAGGGTTCATGATGTGGGGCAATTTTGGAGAAAATTCCCTAAAGGGTATATGGGGAAGGTGTGGCCTTCTCAGAAGGTCTGGGTGGAGTAACATGCATGACAGAGGGCTCTTTTCCCAAAAAACTCCTCAGCGGTCTCTGATAAGGAAGGAGGCACCTCTGAGTAAAGTCTCCACATGGAGAGGCAGAATGGGTGGGGGTGGTGTCACAGTAGAGGGTTTTCCAGAAAGAACTCTGGGGTTCTAAGTGCAGGACCTCCAAGTTAATTTGAGGGAAGATGAGGTATGTGTGTGGGGCCTTCCACAGGAGAATTTGGGGGACCAGGGAAATCTACAAAAAGCTTTCAAGTCTCTTTGTAAGGCAGGAGATCTGAGTATTGATTCAAGGGGTTTTGGTGGGTGGCAGGAGGGTTTCTGGGAGGGATTTCCAGCTCATGAGGTTCCAGGGTTGCTGGGGTCTCTAATGTAAGGGGGTCCTGAAACCACATCTCTCAGGGGTCATGAAGGGGATCTTGGGATTTTAGAGGGACAGGAAGAAGGACCTTTAGAAAGTTCACCTAAGGGCTGGCAGAGTGGCTCAAGCAGTAAGCATGCTTGCCTAGCAAGGGTGAGGCCCTGAGTTCAACCCCCCAGTGCCACCAAAAGAGCTGTAAAAAGTATGAGAGAGACAAGGAGGGAACTTGGGGTTTCTTACACAATTTTTGAAACATGTGGTGTGAATTACTGGGAAAGATTTCAGATCCATAAAGGGGTTTTGGGAAAGGCTTTTGGAATATGGAAGAACAGTTCTCTGGAGATTTGGGGCAATCCCTAGAGATTTTTAGATAAGTGGGGGGATCTCAAGGGAAGACTGTTGGGATGCAATCTGTAGAGCAGGGTGAAGAGCTGTGGGGAACATGAGGTCTCTGGGAGAGCTTTGGGGGGCGGGGTCTGTGAGAGGGTAGGGAATGTGTCTGGAAGATGGCTGCAGTAGGGGGTGGTGAATGTTCCAGGTGAGTTTGGGGAGTCTAGGGGCACTTTGGGATCTCCCAGGAAGCTCTTTTTGGGATATGGGAAGAAGATGGTCAGGAAAGACGTCTGAGGTTCATCAGGGCACTGTGAAGATTTGGGGGAGGCGGGGAATGAGTGCAAATCGCTAAGGCGATTTCTAAAAGGGGGTAAGCAGGAGCAGGAGGGAAAACCCTGGAACAGATGAGGGGCAAGCCTGGGGAACGTACTGGACTATGCAAAGCAGGTCTGGAGATTCTGGAATGCCCCGGATCTGGGAGGATTTCAGGGGGTCTCCGCAGGAGACAGGTTTGGAGGATTTCGGGAGCCCGGGGGCAGACGTGGGAGATACCCGATGAGAACGCTCGAGGAGTGGCCTCCACCAAGTATTTTTTTTTTTTCGCTACAGTGGGGCTGGAGGCCACTGGGCGGGGGTCTGGCAGGACACGCGTAGGTCCCTGGAGAAAACAGCTGGAAGGTGAAGGGGCTCCGGGGAAGCCGGCTGGACCACCCTGGGGGCTCCCCGGGCAGATCGGGCAGATCGGTGAGGGGTCAGGAGAGAGCTCCCGGGCCGGGCCCCTCGGTGATCTCGAGGGCGTGAGGAGGTTTCGGAGGGAAGCTCTCGAAGGGGCCGGGTCCCCCGAGGCCCGCGCTCGCACCCGCCGCCGCCCGCGGCTCGGGGTCCCTGAGGGGGCGGGGCCGTCCGCGCGGCCTGGGTCGCCCCGAGGGGAGCGCCGCGCGCGCCCCGACCGGCCGCCGCCCCGCGCTCGCCGGCTCGGCCCGAGACTCACCTCCTCGGCCTCCGCCGCCGCCGCCACCCGAGCCTCCTCAGGCCACCGCTGCCGTCGTCGCCCCCTCTCTGGCCCGCGAGCTCCCCTCCCTCCTCCCTCAACGACCACCGCCGCCGCCGCCGCCGCCGCCGTCGCGCTGCGTCACCGCGCCGTGCGTCACCGCCCCTGGCCCCGCCCCGACGGAGCCATCGCGCGCCGGCATTAGCTTACGCCCAGGTGACGAACAGCGCGCCAGCCAACCAGCGGCGAGGGCAGCCCGAAGGGCGGGAGGTGTGAGCCGACAAGGCGGGGTCCTAGCCGGGAGGGGAGCAACGGGGCTGGAACGAAGCCCAAGAGGCCCGCCCCCTCCTCAGTGGGATTGGTCGGACGCGGGGGTGACGGGCAGGCGGCCAAACCCGGGATCGGGGCAGAGGGCGGGGAAGGGGAGAGGCGCGCGCGGCGTTGCCACGGGCAACGGGCCGGCGGAGCTTGTGATTGGACCTCCAGGCCCGCAGGGGGCAGTCTCGCGCCTGTCTACCCCAGCGGCGGTGCACCGAGTCACAATTCCTCATTCTGGCGTTCAAGGCCTCCTGCTCCCCGCCCCTCTGACACGCCTCATCCAGGCAGGCCTTGAGCCGGAGCTGTGTCCTCAATCGTCAGTCCGAGGGAGAAAGAGAACCTGGACCTGGTCTCAGCTCTCTACAATGACATTCTCGGAGTCTCTCTCCCATGGGAAAAGTGGGGCGACATCAACCTTACAGGATGGAACGAGAGAAGGCATCCAAGCGCTCGGCACAAAAGGAGACGTCAATCATCGGGGTGGTTGCTATGGTTTTTGTTGTAATCTGTAGTCAGTCCACAAACTGCATCAGAGTGAAGCAATCAGAAGGGGGCCGCACTTTAGAAGGCTGTCGGGTGACAGAGACCTTGGGTGACTGACATGGCTTGTTACAGGAGCTCAGAAATGCACTGGGGTGGAGAGGTGAGAAATGAGCTGCCGCCAGATGGTCAGCCACTGGAGGGAGTTAGCACTTGTCCTGACGCCACTAGGGAACCATGAGAGGATTCAAGACCTGGGGAGGGGGTCCCAGGGAATTGGGGGTTAGGGAGAAGTCTTTGGCTTATATATGGAGGGTAGATTGGGAGGAATGGAACTAGGGGCCAGGAATGCAGGGAGACAGCTGGGGGTGAGGGGACAGGAGGGTGGGACTGCAGGAAGGGGAGGTGGTGCAGCTGAGAGGGTTGCACAAGCTCTTCAACAGTCTGGCCACAGTGTGGGAGAGGAGGGGGAAGTCCAGGACAAAACCCTCTGTCTGGGAGATTGGGCTCCTAGAGGAGAAGCCCAGTGTGGGACGCCCAGCGGCGAGGTCCTTAAGGCTGCACAACATGGAAGGCAAATTGGAGCTCCAGATGAAGAGTTAAGGGATCATTAAAGATGGCTACTGAAGCCGTGGGGGTTAGTGACTTAGCCCAGGGAGGGTAGGAAGGATGAATGGAGACCAGAATCCCATGGAACCCTGAGAAATGAAGACACATGGGGTTTGAGAAAGGAATTGACAGATTGAGAAGGGGGTGGGGCTGGGGCATGGTTCAAGTGATAGAATGCCTGTCTGGTAAGCACAAGGCCCTGAGTTCAAATCTCAATACTACAGGGCACCGGTGGTTCACGCCTGTAATCCTAGCTACTCAGGAGGCAGAGATCAGAAGGATTGTGGTTCGAAACCAGCCTCAGCAAATAGTGTGCGAGAACCTATCTTGAAGAAACCCTTTGCCAAAAATGGGCTGGTAGAGTGGCTCAAGGTGTAGACCCTGAGTTCAAATCCCAGTACTGCATACAAACAAACAAAACCCCAGTACGGTCCAGAGAGAGGAAAAAAACCCTTCCTATGGTTGATTATTTTGGAAATAGAGTCTCACTTTTTGCCCATGTCCACCTGGGCCACAACCCTCCTATTAATTCTTCCTGCTATGGCCGGAACTGCTTCTTGCCATTAGTAAGATGGGGTCTCTTGATCTCCCTGCATGGGCTGGCCTCCACCTGTGATCCTTGGAGTTCAGCCTCCCAAGTAGCTAGGATTACAGGAGTGAACCATCAGCAACCAGTTCAATAAGATTTCTTGAGTATTTAGGATGTGCCAGGCTCTGCCCAACATGCTAGAAATACAAAAATAAGGCAGATGAACATCTCTGCCTTGGTGAAACTTACATTCTAGTGGGGGGACCCAATGATAAATAAGGAAATACTCTGTTGTTTGTGAGAAGTACCACAGAGAAGAATGAAACAAGCTAAGGGAATGAAATGATGGGGTCACAATTATTTCTGGTGGGGAAATGTTTCTTTTACCAAGCAAAATTGGAGCTGAAAGAATGAAAGTGTGAACCAAAAGGGAAAGAGTGTTCCAGAGAGAGGGAACAGTTTGTGCAAAGGCCCTGTGGCAGGATAACAAAGGCCGAGTGGGGTGAGCCAAAAGGAGAGGAGGACAAGAGGTCATGGGAGAGGAGTGGCTACAGTGTACTTTAAAGGTCATCATAGCTGGGTGCCAGTGGCTCACGCCTGTAATCCTAGCTACTCGGGAGGCAGAGGAGGATCGTAGTTTGAAGCCAGCTTGAGCAAATAGTTTGAGAGACCCTATCTTGAAAAAATCATAGCAAAAAAAGGGCTGGTGGAGGGGATCAAGGTGTAGGCCCTGAGTTCAAGCCCTAGTACCGCAAATAAATAAATTAATTAATTAAATTAAATAAAGGTCATCACGAGGACTTAAGATTTTACCCAAATGATAAAGGCGGGTTTATAGAGAGGAAAGATGTCTTCCTCTCCGCTCCCCCCTTCTCCACCTTCTTTTCTCTCTCTCCTCTCCCTGCCTCCTCCTCTCCGCAGGCCCTGGAGTTTTCATCCTCCTGCCTCAGCCTCCCAAGTGCTGGGATTACAGCTATAAGCTGCCATGCTTGGGTTCCTTTTTCTCCTTCCTTCCTTCCTTCCTCCCGTCCTCCCTTTCACCCTTTCTCCCTTCTCTTCCTCCTCCCTTCCTTCCTCCTTCCTCCCTTTCTCCCTCCCTCTCTCCTCCCTCCCTCCTTCCTCCTTCCCTCCTCCCTCCTCCCTCCCTCCCCTCTCCCCCTTCCTTCCTCTCTCCCTCCCTCCCTCTTTTCCTCCCTTCCTTTTTCTTTCTTTCTGTGCTGGAGATCAAACCCAGAGCTTTGTTCCTGATAGGCAAGTGCTGTGCCACTGAGCTGCACCATAGGACTGGGGAGAGGGTAGGGTGGGGCCAGGGAACCAGTGAGGAGGTTGTTGCCACAGTTCAGGCAGGAGAGGAAGATGGATGGGCCCTAAAGTTGAGCTGTAGAGGAACTACATATTGAAATCCCAGTTGGGTCTGGTGGCTACGCCTATAATCCCAGCACTGGGAGGCTGAGGGGAAGGGATGGTGAGTTCTAGGCTAGCCTGGGCTACATAACAAGATGCATCTCAAATAACAATAACAGCACCTTGGTTGGAGAGGGTTTCAGATAAAATTGAGAGGATTAACTGAAGGTAGCCAGTGTAGACAATTCTTTTGAGAAATTTTGCTGAAAAGGGAAGAAAATGAATGAATGAATGAGGAATGACTAGGTGGGAGATGGGGTTTTTAGGGTTTGGGTTTTCTTTTTTTTTTTTTTTTCTGTTGGTACTGGGGTTTGAACTCAGGGCATTCTGTCACTTAAGCCACATCCCCAGCCCTTTTTTGTTTTTTGGATACCGTCTCACATTTTTGCCCAGGCTGGCCTCAGACCACATGTGTAGCTGGAACCATAGGTGTACTCTACCATGTCCACCTTGTTGGCTGAGGTGAGTTATCACTAACATTACTATTATTATTATTATTATTATTATTATTTTGGCATTACTGGAGTTTGAACTCAGGGCTTCATACTTGCTAGGCAAGTGCTCTACTACTTAAGCCACTTCACCAGCTCAAGTTCTCACTAATTTTTTGCCTGGGCTTCGCTTGAACCTCAATCCTCCTGATGGCTGCCTCCTGAGTAGCTGGGATTACAGATGTGAATCACTGAGCCTGGTGGGTTTTTAGTTTTTAAAATGGAAGAAATAACAGTGCATGTATACTCGGGAAGGACCCATTAGGGGCAGAGACAGATGATACAGGTGAGAGAGAAGAAAAGCCACAGAGGTGCCCTGGAGCTGGTTGTGGTGAGCTGGACAGCAGTCAGGTTTGCTCATAATTAGGGAGGGTGGCCAGCACAGTAGGCAAACTCAGCCAGGACCTTGGGAAAATTCTCCTTTGCTTGCTTGTATTTTCTCACTAAAAAATATATGGTTTTCTCATAAATTACTTTGCTGTTATTTCTTCTTTATATGACAGTTAGGATTAGTGTATTGATTTTTTCTGAATTTATGCATGTAAGTAGGTCACATTACCTAGGAATTTCATTTCAAGATGGGAAGGGGAACAATACAAAACATTTTTTTTTTGGATGCTGGGCATAGAACCCAGCACCTTGCACACACTAAGCCTATGCTCTATCACTGAGCCATATCCCTGGTCCCCCCAAACACTTTTTTTTGTTGTCTTTGGTGAACTGGAGTTTGAACTCAAGGCTTCACAATTGCAAAGCAGGCGCTCTACCACTTGAGCCACACCTCCAGTCCATTTTGCTCTGGTTATTTTGGAGATGGGGGGTCTCATGAATTATATGTCCTTGCTGGCCTCAAACCACTATCCTCCCGATCTCAGCCTCCCAAGTAGCCAGGATACAGATATGAGCCATTGGCACCTGGCTATAATGTGCTCTTTAGAAAACACCTATAATCCTGTTACTTAGGAGGCAGAGATCAGGAGGATCGAAGTTCAAAGACAACCCAGGCAAATAGCTCTTGAGACCCTATCTCGAAAAAAACCATCACAAAAAATGGCTGGTGGAGTGGCTCAAAGTAAAGGCCCCGAGTTCAAAACCCAGCACTGGAAAAAAAAAAAGGTATACTACATAATAAACAAATGGGGGGAAGGTATGGGTCTAACAGGCTTGAACTCCGTTGTCATAGGGACTCAGAGGCTATGAAAAGCCGCAAGAGGTTGAATAAGTGCAGGTAGCTCACATCTGTAATTCCAGAGATCTGGAGGATGGCAATTAAGGCCAGTCCAGGCAAAAAGTTAGCAAGTCCCCATGTGAACAACCAAGCCAGTTAGGGTGGTTCACGTGTATAATCTCAGCTATGAGGGAAGCATAGATAAGAGGATCCTTTTTGTTTGTTTGGTTGGTTGGTTTTTGGTGGTACCAGGTTTGAAGTCAGGGCCTCACGCTTGCTAGGCAGGCGCTCTGCCACTTGAGCCAGTCTGCCAGCCTAGGTAGAAGGATATTACTGTGAGGCTGGGACAAAGCATGAGATCATATCTGAAAAATAAAGAAAAAAAGCCAAAAAACAAAGACTGGGGTGTAGCTCAAGGGGTAGAGCTTACTTAACCTGCCTAGCAAACATGAGACCCTAGTTCAAACCAGTACTGCCAAAAAAACGTCCTGACTATGTAGGCATTGTGGAGGGGACTCTGTGGTCTGTTTCACCACCTTCCCCTAACATACAGTGTTTTCCTCCATCTTAAGCCATAAAAACTTTCTGGACATGGTGGCTCACCCTTATAATCCCAACTACTTAGGGGGGTTGGAGATAGGAAGATTATGGTTAGAGGCCAGTCTGGGCAAAGTTATTGAGATCCTGTCTCAAAGAATAAGCTAGTGTGGTGGTGCACACGTGTAATCCAAGCTATGTGGGAGGCAGAGGAGGAGGATGGAGGTCCAAGGCTGGCCCTGGGGAAAAACACAAGCCCCTAACTGAAAATCAGCAATGATGGCAGTAAAGTAAAAGTCCACACTCCAATTTCTCAGTTTCACGATTCAAATATTTCAGAGAGAGATAAACTAGGAAAGCTTCCTGCAAGAGGGGAGGAGCCAAAGAGCTTATTATTAATATCCAGTCTTTTTTTTTTTTTTTGCAGTGCTGGATTCAAACCCAGGCCCTCATGCGTGCTCCTCAAGTGCTCTACCACCGAGATCCATCCCTAGCCCTTGTGTTTTTGAGGAATGGTCTCAATAGGTAGCTCAGATTGGCCTCAGAGTTGAGATCCTCCTGTCTCAGTCTCAAAGAGTGCTGGGATTACAGTCGTAAATACCATGCCCAGCTATTATCATCTGAGCACATCTGCTGTGCTGGGTGATAGGCAGAGCTATTTTATCCTCTCAATGATTCTGGATCAGAGGGGGAAGTTGCTTAACTAGGGCCACACAGCAAGGCAGTATTCGAACCCTGGTCTGAATGATTGCAAAGTCTGACTGATTAGGGAAGGAAGGAGGGGGAGGAGCCCTCAGTGACAGTTGCCCCAGAACAGGCATAAACAGGATGTGGTGTTGGATGAAATCTTCTCCTACCCTACAGCCCGTCCCCCACGGCTGTGGTCCCCACCCCTAGAAGACAGCGGAACTGAAGGAAGAAGAAGCCGAGGACAAAAAAGCCATGGTCAGGGGGCAAGGGCCAGATGGGAAGGGAAGGGTGAGGGGCTGGAGCTTAGGCCTGGCTGAGGCTCGGAGGGCATCAAGGTGGAGGTCACAGGGCGGGGGAAGAGAGGTGGTGGCCCTGGGTTTAGCTTCAGGCAAGCAGATCCCTGGGTCTCCACCACCCGGCCTCTGCCTGGGTGTTCTGGCCACCATGAGCTCCTACAGCATCTGTCTGATGGTCACAAAGGCCTCAGATGGGCTTGGGTCACACTTGTCCTTACTCCTGGATGAAGAAACTGTGGTTGGGGAAGAGGGCAGAGGCGGGGGCCGGGCCAGCTCAGCCCTTCCTGATCCTTCTGGCAGTCGGACTCCCTGGTGGTGTGCGAGGTGGACCCAGAGCTAAAGGAAAAACTGAGGAAATTTCGCTTCCGGAAAGAGACAGACAATGCAGCCATCATAAGTAGGTGACATCTTCCCCCAGGAAGGGTTGGGGACAAGCTGGGGAAGTGGGGCTGGTGTCCCTCTGTTTCTGGGTGGGAGCTTTCTAACCCCATGTTCCTACCCCCCAGTGAAGGTGGACAAGGACCGGCAGATGGTGGTACTGGAGGAAGAATTTCAGGTGAGGGACTAAAAGACCTACAGGGTGTCACTGAGAGACCCAAGGGGACATAAGAGCACATCAGAAGGATCTGGAGACCACGGGCCTAGGCAAGAGACTTTGCCTTTGTGTATCCTCTGGTTTTCTACCCGTGAAATGGGTACAACGGTCTATCTTACAAGGCTGTTTGCAAATCCAATGATTTAATAAGCACACAACTGCACACTGCTTTAACAAGGCCTGGCACACAGTACGTGCTCACTAACGTGATAAGGACAATGATAATCCTTTGTTGGCACTTAAATGAAAGAATTTCCAGGTAATTTAACAAGCCAGCAGAAATCCCGTATGAAAGGGTAAACTTCACCTTCCTGTGTCCAGGGATGTCCTAGTGCTGTGGTAAGGATTTATGGGGGTCATGGGGCCTGGGACTGGAGAAAGAGAACTGGATAGGAACCGGGCTCCCTTAGGTCCTCTGGAAGGAAGTGGTGACCTGGGAACACAGACTCAAATCTGCTGCTTACCGTCTGCAGCCTTGGGCAAGTGCCTTGTCACTTTTGGCTCTCGGTGTCCTTAGCTATCAAGCGGGAGGAGTGAGTTCAATGAATTAACCACATGTGTTTCTCAGAACAGTTGCCTTGTTGCATAGTAAGAGCTCATTTAGCCAGGCGCCTGTGGTTCACACCTGTAATCCCAGCTACTCAGGAGGCAGGGATCAGGAGGATCACGGTTCAAAGCCAGCCTGGGCAAACAGTTCTCGAGACTCTATCTTGAAAAAACCCTTCACAAAAAAGGGTTGGTGGAGTGGCTCAAGATGTAGGCCCTGAGTTCAAACCCCAATATCAAAAGACAAAAAAGCTCATTTAATGGCCTTTATTTGTTCTCTCTCTCTCTCTCTCTCTCTTTCTCTCTCTCTCTCTCTTTCAGAACATTTCCCCAGAGGAACTTAAGTCGGAGCTACCAGAGAGACAGCCCAGGTACCCTGGGGAATAGGAGGGCAGGACCAGGCTGTGGAAATGACTGAGGGACAGATCCAGGGGCTACTTGGGCTCAGGACCTCTGTGTTTGAGAGCAAGAGTTCATATTCTAAAATTTGGTTTAGTATTATTCTGTTGCACAATTTTACACTGATAACTGATACTGGTTTAGAGTTTACTTTTCTTTGCACAAACTTTGTTAGACTTTGGTCTCAACATTACCCTGGCTTTCCCCACCTGCTTTTTTTGTGTAACTGGATTTGAACTGAGGGCTTTGTGTCTGCAAATCAGGCAAACTCAAGCCACACCTTCAGTCCATTTTGCTCTGTTATTTTGGAGATGGGGGTCTTGCAAACTATTTGCCTGGGCTGGCCTCGAACTGTTATCCTCCCTATCTCAGCCTCCCAAGTAGCTAGGATTACAGGTGTGAAACACCAGTGCCTGGCTTGACTTTGGTTTTAAAAATGAAATGTTTGTATTTAGGAAGCTGAGGCAGGAGGACCATAAGTGGGCTATCCAGGGTGACCCTGTGTTAAAGAAAACAAAATGGAACAGCAGAAAAAATTTTCTTTTTCAATGCTTGGGAACACGAGGTAGCAGAGGAATTTTTTTGGGTGCGAGGCTGGACCTCAGGGCCTCATGCTGGCTAACAATTGGGTAGAATCCTAGAATCCTGTGCAAAGCCACAGGAACCTGGTGCTTTTTTTTTTTTTTTTTTTTTTTTTGATAGCTCTTGGACCGTTTCCACAAAAATTGGTCTGTTTAGATTGTTTTGTTTTTTGGAGTGCTGGACAGAACCTGTACAAGCTAGGCAAGCTCTCTACCACTGAGCTTTGTTTATAGCTTATAGAATTTTGTTTATATAGTTTTTTTAATCTTTTTTTTTTAAGGTACTGGGGCTTGAACTCAGGGCCTTCACCTTGAGCCACTCCACCAGTCTAATTTTTTGTGATAGGGTTTTTCCAAGATAGGCTCTCATGAACTCTTTGCCAGCCTGGGCTGTCTTCGAACCCCAATCCTCCTGATCTCTACCTCCTGAGTAGCTGGGATTATAGGCGGGAGCCACAAACACCCAACTTTTTTTTTTTAATCTTAACTGAGTTCATTTTGGGTGTCTTGGATTTTCAGCCTCAACCCCAGGTTGAGGTTCATGGGTATTTGACAGTTGCACGAGGCCCCACACCCAGAACAGGGACAAGGAGGCCTCACACCTAGGGATCAATGCTGACTTTTTTTTTTTTTTTGAGACAGGGTCTGTGTAACCCAGGCTGGCCTGGAACTCTCAATCTTCCTGCCTAAGCCTACTGAGTGCTAGGATTACAGGCATGCAGCACCACACTCAGCTAATGCTGAAATTTGAGCCACACCTTCGGTCCATTTTTTTCTGTTATTTTGGAGATGGGATCTCTCTAACTATTTGCCTGGGCTGGCCTTAAACCTTGATCCTCCCGATCTCAGTCTTCCAAGTAGCTATGACTATAGGTGGGAGTCACCAGTGCCCAGATGCTGCCCCCTCTGGACAGGTTCTCAGCCATGGGCTCCCTGCACCTGCCCTCAGGTCCCCTACACAGCCTACACCCTGTCTCCCAAGTTCTAGGACACTCTTGTGGGAGTCTGCATTCCCTTCATGAGCATCCCGTGGTTGAGAAAGCACAAAGTTAAATCACAAAATAAAAAAGAGCTTAGCCAGTGCTGGTGTCTCACGCCTGTAATCCCAGCTACTCAGGAGGCATAGATGAGGAGGATTGCGGTTCAAAGCCAGCCTGGGCAAATAGTTCTCAAGACACTTTCTTCAAAAAAGCCCATCATGAAGAAAGAGCTGGTGGAGTGGCTCAAGGCATAGGCCCTAAGTTCAAACCCCACTACTGCCAAAAAAAAAAAAAAAAAAAGAGCCTGGGGTTGGGAACATGGCTCAAGTGGCAGAGCGCCTGACTAGCAAGTGCAAGGCCCTGAGTTCAAATCCCCATACCGCCACAAAAAAGAAACAAGATTCCAGGTTGTGGACCCAGATAGTGGCTGTTGGGCCACTCAGGTTCTGAGTGCGAATTCCCTTTTGCTGGTGTAGGTTCGTGGTCTACAGCTACAAGTATGTGCATGCAGACGGCCGGGTGTCCTACCCTCTGTGCTTCATCTTCTCCAGCCCTGTGGGTGAGACACAACTCTACTCATCCTGAGGAGAGGGGCTTAGGTTCTGGGGGTGGTGTGGGGATGTAAGCGTGTGTGCCTGAGTGCACACTTGTACTTGCGTGTTCCCGTGTGAGCTGTGTAGGTGTCTACGTTAGAGTAGGAAGATGGGGACTAGAGATGGTAGAATGCTTGCCTGCCACTGTCAAGACCCTGGTTCAATCCTCAGCACTGCAAAATAAATAAAGTAAATCAGCCAGGCTCACTGGCTCACACCTGAAATCCTAGCTATTCAGGAGGTAGAGATCAGGAGGATCGCCATCCTGGGCAAATAGTTCTCGAGACCCTATCTCTAAAAATCCCATCACAAAAACGGCTGGTGGAGTGACTCAAGGTGTAGGCCCTGAGTTCAAGCCCCAGTACTGCAAAAAGGAAAGAAAAGGAAGGAAGGAAGAAAAAAGAAAGAGTGCAAGAATGGGAGAGCCTATGTGTGACTTGGTGGCATGGTGGCATGGATAGTGTGTGAGGGCAGGGGACTCAGATCCACCCGGAGCTCAAGGTATGCACCAACCCACCTCTTTCTTTTGCTAGAACTCCTTCTAGTCCCTACATAACTTATAGAGACCCCGGCATAGCGTGAGGTCCCAAACAAACCTAGAAAGTCTTAAGTACAGTCCTCGGGGACCTCATACAATGATTCCTAAAGCCCCTGAGGACTGTCAGGCCTGCCGGGCATTACAAGAGCTGTACAGAACGCGTCCTGTCTTCAGCGACAAGTCCTCTTCTTCTCACAGGCTGCAAACCCGAACAACAGATGATGTATGCGGGGAGCAAAAACAGGCTGGTGCAGACCGCAGAGCTCACAAAGGTGCCCCCAGTGGAGGGCAGCGTCGGGACCCTGGGTCTGAGGGAGGAGGCTGGGGCCTGGATCCCTGGATCTGAGGGAGGAGGCTGGGCCTGGACCCCTGGGTCTGAGGGAGGAGGCTAGGCCTGGACCCCTGGGTCTGAGGGTGGAGGCTGGGCCTGGACCCTTCGATCTGAGGGTGGAGGCTGGGAACTGGACTCCTGGGTCTGAGGGAGGAGGGCTGGGATGTGGACCTCTGGGTCTGAGGGAGGAGGCTGGGGCCTGGACCCCTGGGTCTGAGAGGTGTGGAGCCCCACTGGACCCTCATTCAGAGACCTCTCCCTGCCCAGGTGTTTGAAATCCGCACCACAGATGACCTCACAGAGGCCTGGCTGCGAGAGAAGCTATCTTTCTTTCGTTGACCTCTGAGCCAGGGACTTGAATTCCTGACGTCTGAGCCTCAAGGAGACTGAAGACTCGGACCCCTAGGGTCTGAACATCCAAGACCGTAAAGAAATTAAAACCACAATAACTCAGAGGCTCTGATTGACTTTTTCCAAACTCTCCTCGTGGTGTTAGCCGACAGTTCCTGCAGTTCCCGACTTTGGTCAGCAGGAGGCGCGCGGACCGAGGGGACCGGAGCTGGTCCTGGGAGGAAAGGACACCTGTTTCTCTGAAGGAAAAGCGGGGGACTGTGGGATTTCACCGGGGGTGGAGAGGTGTCTGGGTTTCCTGGGAGAATTGGGGGAGTATCTGAATCTATGGAGGGGTCACTCAAGAGGATCTGGAGGGTAAAAGAGACAGTGCTGTTGTCCCCTTCTCTCACCTTGCCTCCCAGTCTCTGGGGCTAACAGGCATCAGCTGACACTGAACGCCACGTTTCTCAGCTGAGCCCTTAGGTAGGAAGAATGTAAAGGCCAAAAAGCTGTCAGCGGATGGAACATAATTTTCAGGGGCCCTGGAGTTGCTGGGGGCGGATTGTTTGGGTGACTGGATAAGCTGTGGGAGGTGAAGAGGATCCAGGACCCTCAGTGCACCCTGGCACACTTGAAGAATCAGGGAAGGGAGTCCCCACCCTCCCACTGTTGTCTGATTCTTCTTTCCTTTCTTGTGACATCTCTGGGCATTGAACTGTCTCTGCTCTCTGGTCTGTCTCTGAAAGAGACACCCATAGTATACCAGACTCTGAGACCAGTAGTCTCCATAGAGATAAATGTCTCTGCTTCCCTGCCAGGGCCCCCATTGTTCCTTTCCCAATCCCCAGATTCCAGGACCTGGGCACCCTCTCCTCCCACCCCTTTCCAGGTTCCCTGTACAGAGGTGGCCGTTGCCATGGTAACAATGACACCGTGACCTTGGGCCTTGGCTGCCCCTCCCCTAACCCTAGCATTCCTGGGGGAGGTTCTAAAAGCAAGTTTCAACTCTTTGTCCCTCCCAGCAGCACTACAGGATTCTTTCACTATCCCACCCTTCGCCATCCCTGTTGCCTCTGTCCTTAGTCCAGACAAGCCCTTTGGGGATTCCAAGATAGAATCACTCTAGGCTGGACCACAGAAAATCCCCCTGCCTTTGATTTCCTTGGGGGTTGGGTTGAGCTCCCCTCCTCTCCTCTCTGCTGGTGCCCCTTGTCCCTCCCCCAGCCCCTCATCTATCCTTTTGATCACAGCCTCAGTCCCTGATGGCAGGAGATGGAAAAGAAGGAGGTCTGGGAATGAGAGGGGCAGTCAGTTAAGAGAGCAGGGAACTCCTGGCCTGCAGAGGTCAAGAGCAAAAGGACTTGTCCAAGGTCATGCACTTACACACTCAAATGGATGGCAACAGCTAGCTCTCCTTTCCAGGGCTTCCTGTAGGCCACGGGCATTAATTCATTTAATCCCTACAGTAGTCCAGGAAGAAGTACCGTTATTATCCACACTTCTTTCTTTTTTTGCGACAGGGTGTCACTATGCAGCCCAGACTGACCTGCAACTTGCAATCCTCCTGCCTCTGCCTCCCCAGTGCTGGGATTACAGGCATGCTCCTCAACAGCTGGCCCCCTGATTGAAAGATGAAAAAACTGAGGCACAGGGAAGCCAAAAATAGTTGCTTTGAAGTCAAAGGGTTAATGACCTATACAGTTAGAACTGGAACTCCAGCCTATCCTGTGAACAACGGTCAGATCCTCTCTTAGGCCAGAGAATTGATTTTTTTCTTCTTCCTCCTCCTCCTCCTCCTCTTCCTTCCCCATCCTCATTCCTGGGATTCCCACTCCTCCAAAGATGAATTTCTGTTTGCTTCTAGGCTCCTGATTGTAAATAATCCAATCAGAAAGGGGCACCTATAGGGACTTGCCCAATCAGGAGCAGAGTTTGGAAAGCAAAGACCAATCAAAGAGGGTGACTCAGGATGGCAGACCGATGCCATTGGGTAGGGCTGGAATTGTGGAAGGACCAATCAGAGAGTCCAGAACGGAGTAGGTTATCCAATGAAGAGTCAGCACGTGGGTGTGGCTTTGGGTTTGACAAGACTCCTCAGAGGACTTCGCCTTCCTAACCTCGAATGTGGGCAGGGCTTGCGTTTGAGACTCTGAGACTAGACCTTAGGGCGGAGTGGAGAGTTCACACTCCATTCCTAGGCTGAAGTAGTATGCGTTTGGGGTAGAGGCCAAGGTGGAAGCTAAAGTGGAGGCTTTAGGCAGAGGGGATGGGGTTAGGCTTGTGGGCGGAGCATAGGCTGAGGAAGTGGGAATATTATATACTTGGGGTAATCGCTAAAAAGTGTGGGCCTTGTCTGACCTGATGTGACAGATCAGATAGGGCTGGAGTTTTTGCCTTGGGGTAGAGCCATAGGGCAGAGGGTGGAGCCTAGGTTTGGGGGCGGGGCCTAAATTGTCGACCAATAGGACTGGTGGTAGATCTGTATGAGAAGGTCTGGGCTGGGGCACCGGTGGCTCACGCCTGTAATCCTAGCAATCAGGAGGCAGAGATCAGGAGGATCATGGTTTGAAGCTAAGCCTTGGCAAATAGTTCAAGAGATCCTATCTTGAAAAAAATCCTTCACAAAAAAGGGCTGGTGGACTGGTTCAAGTGGTAAGAACACCTGCCTAGCAAGTGTGAAGTCCTGAATTCAAATCCCAGTGCTGCCAAAAAAAAAAAAAAAAGCTCTGGTTAGGAGTTAGGGCCTTGGAGGAGATAGACTACACTATCTATTTCCACCTGTGGCTCTGTTTGTTTGTTACTGTTTTTGACAGTACTGGGGGTTGAACTCAGGGCTTCATGCTTGCTAGGTAGGTGCTGTACCACTTCAGCCACGCATCCAGCTCTTTTCTCTCTGGTTAGTTTTGAGATGGGGTCTTGCTTTTTTGTTCAGGCCGCCTGGACTACGATCCTCCTATTTTAAGCTTCTGGCTGGGACCACAGGAATGCCTCACTTTTTTCTGTTGAGATGAGGTCTCACAAAACTTTTGCCCTGACTGGCCTCAAACCTTGATCCTCCAAGTTTCAGCCTCCGGGTAGCTAGATCACAGCTGTAAGCCACTGTCACCCAGTTCTTGCTCTGTACTTGAAGCCATTTCACATTTCCTGACCTAGGAGAACATTCCTCAGCCACTAGGGTGTTCCCCTTCCTTTTAGTGACTCCAGGCTGAGAGGTGGTGTTTATTCCTTGCTGTGTGTCTGAAGGAGTCTGCGGCAGACCTGGCTCTTCAGCCCTCTGCCAAGAGGCAGTCAGGTTCACACATTTACTGAGCACTAACTGTGTGCCAGTCTCTACCCTGTGCATTGGAGAGAATTGGTGGCCCTGCCATGAAGAGGCTTACATTTCAATGACAAGAAAATAAATCACTGAATAAGTATGCAACAAATAGGTAAATGAATAAACAAATAATATCCTTAAGGTGATAAGTACTATGAGAGAAAGGAAGTGAGGTGACATGACAGAAGTGGTGGGAGAGCCTGGCATGGTGGCCCACACTGGTGATCCCAGCACTTAGGAGGCTGAGGCAGGAGATTGCAAGTTGCAAGGCCAGCCTGGAATATGTAGCAAGACACTGTCTCCAAAAAAAAAAAAAAGAAAGAAAAAAGTTAGGTGTGGTAGCTCAGGCCTATAATCCCAGCTACTTGGGAGGCAGAGATCAGAAGGGCCACAGTTTGAGGCCAGTCTGTACAAAAAGTTTGGGAGACCCATCTCAACCAATAAAAGCCCAGGTGTGATGATGCACCCGACATTCCAGCAATGAGGGAAGTGTAAATAGGAAGATCTCAGTCGAGGCTGGCTTTGATAGAAATGTGAGACACTATTTGAAAAACTAAAGCAAAAAGGTCTGGCAGAGTGGCTCAAGTGGTAGAGTGCCTGCCTAGCAAATAGCAGGCCCCAAGTTCAAATCTCAGTACCACCAAGAAAAAGAAATGGTGGAGGCAGATCATTGCCTAACATGTTCCAGGGCCTGGTGCAATTCCCAGCACCACCACTAACAACAAAAATGTATTACTTGAAAGAGAAATGGTGGAGGCTGGGCACCAGTGGCTTGCAGAGATCAGGAGGATCATGGTTCGAAGCCAGCCTGGGCAAATAGTTCATGAGACCCTATGTCAAAAATAAACCATCACAAAAAAAGGGCTGGTGGAGTGGCTCAAGGTGTAGGCCCTGAGTTCAAACCCCAATGCTGAAAAAAAAAAAAGAAATGACAGGATCTTTTGGGGTTATTTTTTGCCTCTTTTTTTTTTTTTAATTTTCTGACAGTACTGGGGTTTGAACTCACAGCCTCACACTTACTAACAGGTACTGTACCACTTAAGCCACTCCAGCAGCCCCCCTCTTGCTTCTTTAGTCTCTAGAAAAATCCTCCTGCTTCTTTTTTTTTTTCAGTATTTATTATGAAAAACTTTGAACACAGCAAAGTTGAAATAATTTTACTGTAAGCACCTGTAAACCCACTTCCTAGATTCTACCATGAACTTGCTTTATCGTATCGTCCATCCATCAGCCATCCATCAGCCATCCATCTTATTCTGCACCCATTTGAAAGGAAGGATCTTGCAGGTGGGCGCCCAGGTAGATGGGCAAGTGTTTAAATTGAGGATGGAAAAGGATGGTTTCTTTAAAGAACATACGTTTAAGACCTAAATGAAAAAAGGATCTGGCCTTGGAAAGGGGAGAAGACAGCAAAGGCCCTGGGGGCTGCTACAAGTGTCCACATATCCTCCCTGAAACTGGAAGCAAGAGTGGCAGGAATGAGGTCAAGGGCTCACAAGGCCAGATGGACTCTGTGTCTTTGTCTGGGTCTCATGCTCTTTGTTTCCCCCCCCACCTCCCCCGGTACTGGGGTTTGAACTCAGGGCCTACACCTTGAGCCACTCCATCAGCCCTTTTTTTTTCTGTGAAGGGTTTGTCAAGATAGCGTCTTGAGAACTATTTGCCCGAGGCTGGCCTCAAACCATGATCCTCCTGACCTCTGCCTCCTGAGGAGCTAGGATTAAAGGCGTGAGCCACTGGTGCCCAGCCGTGTTTCTCCATCTTTGTGTATTCTTGACTCTCTTTTTTCCCACCCCCCTCTCCGCTTTCCATTCCTGTGCAACCCCGGCCTCCCTCACCTCTCTTTTCCCTTACTACCTGTGTGACTTTGGGTGAGTGACTAAACCTTTCTGTGACTGTAATAATTTTCTTATCTGTAAAATGGGTATGGGGTGGGACCTCCTCAATGGAATATCCTAAAGATTGGATAAAATAATATATGTGAAGCCCTTAGACCATTGCTGGCATATATTATTGCTATATCTATGGTTTCTTTTTTTTTTTTCTTTTGGAGGAATGGGGTTTGAACTCAGGGCTTTGCACTTATAAAGCAGATTCTCTACCTCTTGAGCCATACCTCCAGTCCATTTTGCTCTGGTTATTTTAGAGATGGGGTCCTGTGATCTGTTTGCTGAGGCTGGCCTCAAACCCCATTCCTCCCAATCTCAGCCTCCCAAATAGCCGGGATTACAGGTATGAGCTTGGATCTATGGTCGTATTTTTTGTGTCATATTTTGTCATATTTTGGGGGGTTTGAACTCAGGGTCTCATGCTTGCTAGGCAGGCTCTCTACTGCTTGAGCCACTCCAACACTGCCAGCCCTTTTTGTTGTTATTCCTTCTCCCGCTTTGGTTCTCCCAGCACTGGATTCCCATGCTCCGGCAGGGAGCACTAAGGACCAGGAGTGTGGAGTGACAGGTGAAGTCTGGACACTGGGGCGGTTGTGAGCATCCCCTGGGGCACCTCATGGTTGTGAGTGGGGTCAAGGTTCACTGACAGGAAGATCTGCAGAGGTTATCTGGCTGTGGGGGCAGAGCAGGCCCCAGGTGATGGCAGGGAAAGGAAGAATTTATGGAAGAGATTTGGGGATAAATTCTCCATGTAGTGATATCCAAAACGGGAAGCATTTGAGCTCCAGGGATCAGGGCACCACAAAAGACAGATTTTTTAAGGGGAGGCCTTGCTGGGTTTGGGGGCCCTGTGAGTATCTCAGAAAGAGATGGAGAGTGGTGTAGTGGCTGGTGCTTGTAATCCCAGCTACTAGGGAGGCCAGGGCAGGACATCCTGGGTAAAGTTAGTGAGACCCTATCTCAAAAACAAATGGGCTGGAGGGCATGGCTCAAGTGGTCGAGTGCTGGCCTAGCAAGCATAAGCTGGAAGTCATGGGTTCAATCTCCAATACAGGAAAAGAAAAAAAAAAGGAGAGTGGGTTTTCCTGGATTTGAGGGAGGGCTAGGCAAAAGGCATTCTGGTCTGCTTGGAGTCACAGTTTTGTGCTCATTGGAGCAGGACTGCTGGGGGGATGGGAGAGATCTGGGGCAAGTCAGGGGTTCTGGAAACAGGGGGTGTCAGGAAGGAGAAGGCAGTGAAGAAAAGGACTAAGGTCCCCAAGAGGGTTGGAGGATGGTCTGGGGTCTAAAGGGATAGTGGGAAAAATGTAGCATCTCCCATGGGAAGAAGAGACATTTTGGGGGCCTTTAGCAGTTACACATAGTCTGGGGTTCCTGTGGGAGCCAGGAATAGTTGAGGGTTCTTGGAGGTGGAAGGACATGGCTGAATTCTCCAAGAAGGACTGGGACCTGGCTTGTGGCCCTTGATGGCCAGGGAACATGGTCTGGGTCCCCAGAGCGATCCAGGCAGGATCCGAGGTCCCTTTGGACATTGACATATGGTTTGGGTCCTCCCTGGGTGTTGGGGTGTGGTCTAGGGTCCACCTGTATGCTGGGGTATGATTTAGCGTCACTAAGAGGTGGTCTGGATCCCCTTGGATGCTAGGATATGGTCTGGGGTCCGTCTGGAATTGGGGGCATGATCTGGGGTCCCTGACAGGGTATGGGGCATAGTCGGAGGTCACTAAGGAGAGGAGGACACGGTTTGTGGTCCTGGGAGACTCTTCAATGTGGTCTAGGTCCTCAGAGGACGTAAGGCCTAGTCTCAGGTCTCTCTGGGGAAGGGGACATGATCTGAGGTCTCCATGGGGGGCGCTGGGGGTTCCCCATGCCGGTTGGGGCGTGGTCTGGGGGGAGTCTCTGGCAGGGCCGGGGTGGGGGGGAAGGGTGGGGTAGAGGAGGGGTCGGGGCGGGCCGCTGTGGCTCCGCAGTGGAGAGGGGTCTGCGGTGGTCCGGGTTGGGGTGGGGGAAATCTGGGCGGGCGGCCGCCCAGCCCGGCCGCCCCTCGGGTCGGCGCCCCCTCCCCCCTTGCGGCGACGGCGGCGCGGAGGGCGGAGCTCGGCGGCGGCGCGGGAGGGCGGGAGGCGGGAGGGAGGCGGCCCCGCTGCACCGCGCCCCTCCCCGGCCCTCCCCCCACCATGGCGCGGAGCGAGGCGGCGGCGGCGCGGCGGGGCCGGGCCCGGGCCCCCCCCGGGCTGGGTGAGCGCGGCCCGCAGCGGCCGGGCGGCGGCGGGCGGGGCGCGGGTGGGAGCGGAGCGCGGCGCGCGTGCGGGCGTGGAGTGTAGCCGCGGCGCTGCGGCGGCCCGGCGTGCGCTCGCGCGGCCCTGTGTGTGCCCGCCCGGCGCCGGCGTGTGCGGCGCCCGGCGAGTGTGGCCATCCGGGCGTGTGCGGGGCGGCGAGAGCCGCGGAGGGGTGGCCGGCCGTGCGCGCGTGTGTGTCCCCCTCCCGAGTGGCGGCCCCTCCGGCGGCCGTGTCTGGGGGCTGTCGCGCGCCCATCGGAGGGGCTGTGTGCAGGTGTGTGTGCGTGGGTTGTGTGCCCAGGTGTGTGCGCGGCTAGCTGCGTTGGGTGTTTGTGTCCGGGTGGGGTGCCCATCCGACGATCTGGGGAGCCGGGTGTGTTCGCCGGGGCGTCCGTGTGTGCGTGTGTGTGTGCGTGTGTGCGCGCGCGCGGGTGTGTGTCTCCGAGGGTGTGTGTCTGTGAGTCCACCTGCCGGGGGCTGAGGCTCGGCGCCTTGTGGGGCCAGGCCTCTGTGTGGGTTTGGGGGAGGGGAGTTCGCAGCTCCCTCGGTCCATGTCAACTGGGAGGGGGGTCCTCAGCGGTTCTTGGGGAGACGGCCATGTCTTCCTCTTCTCGGTGGCTGGGGGGAGGGGTTTGGGCGGCCCGGAGGTGGACAGATGGAGAGATGAGAGGCCGAGGGATGGACAGATGGGCCCTGGGGTGGGGGGTGGGGGCGAAGACCTGGCCCTTCCCCACCCACCCCACCCTGACTCCCCCACCGGTCAGACATCTGCAGATGGAGCCAGAGTTGCCTCCATCCTGGTGGCCAGGCTGGGGGACCTCTGGGGCTACTGGTGGAAAGAGCTCCTTGGAACCGGGCTTTGGGACTGAACACTCCCCCTCCCCCCAGTCCTCAAATGGCACCTGCTGAACTCTGACCTCTGGTCCAGGTTGTGCCCTGGTTTGGGGGGAGGGATGTTAGGATTTCTTGGGCCTGGGAAGTAGGTGGGGCGGGGGTGCCTCAGGGCCGGGAGGAATGTGTGTTCATGACTGTGAGTGTGAATGGAGGCCTGTCTGTTGATTGTGCTACCTGACAGTATTTTGCGTGCATTTGCATGTGTGTAAATCCCTCTCGGGACTGTCAAACATCTTGGGATGTCTGCAAAGGTGATCTTTTTGTGCCTATGGGCTTGTTTCAGGGTCTCTCAGCCTTGTGAGTGTCTGTGCACGCTTGGGGTTCTGTGTACGTGTGCGAGGTGTGTACCAGCGAGTGAATGCATGCTGGTGTGGGAATGTATTTGCTCTCTGACTATGCACCATGGGAATTTGTGAAGTTGGATGAGGGTGTTTGTGTGTTTAAGAGTGTGCATCTGCATGTCTTTATACAGATTTGTGTCTGTTATGTGTGTGCCCTTGTGTGTTGGTGAGTGTTACGAGGTCTGTGAGTTACAGTTACAGCTGTCTGGCTGTCTGTTGGGGGCACATGGGTTTCTCTGTGTGTCGGTGCTTCTGGGAGTGTGCATCTGGAAGGGAAAGTCAGTGATGTATGTGTGTTATATGAAGGTGGGTGTCTGTGTGTGAGTCTGTTGTCTGTGGTAGTCTCTGAGGAGCAGGTTGTGTGTGTTCAGACATGTATGTGCAGGGCACATGTGCCTGTGCCCCTGGCATAAGGCTGACCCCACTTCTGGGCCCTGTAGGAGCCAGGCCCTGTGCTGTGGCCAAGCCCAGCATGTGTTTCCTGCTGTGCACAAGTGTGCACATATCCTAGGCCAGTGCCCCTGGAGGGCAGGGAGCACCCAGGTCTTGCTGGTGTGTTCACGGGCACCCTGTGGGTCCACCCATGTAGGGATGTACAGTGTGGATGATGGCAGGGCAGGGACCGCTGGTCCCTTCCTAGCTTCTTGTCTTTGAGGTTGGGGGCTGGGGTATGGTCACAAAGGAGGGGGGTTATGGTCAAGACTCTTGGGTTTGAGGAGGAATCTGGGAACTTAGAATCCTGGAGCTAAGGGAGGAGGGGTAGATTCCAGATTTCAGGATCTCAAGAGGTCTGTGGCACCTGAGAGCCCAGAGGACAAAGGGTCCTGAACTCCTGGGTTTTGGAAGGTGAACAGTCCTGAGGCCCAGTCTCATCTCTTTCCAAGCTGACTTCTGAAACTCTGAAACAGCAGAGCCTTCAGCAGGAGGGCTGAGGGAGTGATCACTCTGAGGACTTCCTTAGCTTAGAGGTCTCCCAGGCAGACCCCAGGGCCCAGAAAGGAGCCAAAGGGTGCTAACGGGTAGTTTTGTTCCTTTGTAGGTGCTGGCCTAGGCCCTGACTCCCTGAAGAGAGGTGAGTGGAAGCCTTGGGCTGGGGAGAGAGATGTGGGGAGATGGGGCTTGCTCTGAACCAGCTGGGGCCTAGGGCCCTCCCTCGCATGAACCCAGTGCAGAGTGCAGCAGGCGGCCAGGGGCCTTCATGCTCCGCCCTCAGCTGAGGAGTGGTGGCCAGCCTGGGAGCATCATGGTGGCCAGGAGATTCTGAGAGGCAGATGGGAGAGTCTCAGGCCAGGAAGTGACGTCACCTCTCAACATGGATAAGGTAGTTGGGAGAGAAGAGTTCTGGCCAGGCATGATGGTGCATTCTATAAGCACAGGTAGGAAGATCACAGTCTGAGGCCATCCCTGGCACAACTGCGAGACACTATCTGAAAAACAACTAACGCAAAAAAAGAGTTGGGGGCACGGCTCAAGGGGTAGAGCAACAACTCCAGGCTCTGAGTTCAAATCCCAGAACCATCACACAAATGAAAAAAAAAGAAGGAAGAGGGGCTCCTTCACCCTATTAATAAAGGGTCCAAGTTTCAAGACATGGAATGACCCTGCCTTGGGAGTGTTGAGTGAATATGAGATGTGCCTGGGCATGTGTACAGCAGTCTGATAGTCTGATCTGGTGGTGGCTGAGAGGAAAAGGAGGAAATAAGAAATTACTATTGATAATAACATCAAAAATTTATGTTAAGTAGGTCCTACCAGTGTCCCCCAGAGAGTCACTTGACTAGGTGGAGCCTTGGGGTGTGAACCCAGGCAGTGGGGTCTGGACTCTGTCTCCCACTGTAGCAGTGCCTCTCATTGTTACTCCTTTTATTTGAGTCCCAGTCCAGCAACGGGAGGCAAAACTCTGGACTTGTTCGAACCCTAGAGACTCCACATCCAAGCAGGTACAGAGCCAGGCCTCCAGGTCAGCATTTCCGGTCATTACAGGACAGGAGGGTTGCTCGGAGATGGTGGGACACCCTGCGCCTGCCTCAGTTTCTCTCTTCAGCTGGGTTGCTATCTCCCTTCATCTCTGTCTCTTCCTCTGGTTTTTGTCTCTTTGACACTTTCTCCTGCGTGTCTCTCTGATTCACTGTCTTTCTCTCTTTGTTTTTGAAGTATTGGGGTTTTGAACTCAGGGCCTTTGCACTTGCCAAGCAGGAGCTCTACCACTTGAGCCATACATACCCCCAACCCCTTTCTTGCTATAGTTATTTTTCAGGTTAGGGTCTTGTGTTTTTGCTTGAGCTATCCTGCAGTAAAATCCTACCTTTTGTCACTGGGATGACAGGCCTGTACCACCACAACCACCTTACTGCTTGAGATAGGGTCTTGCTAACTTTTTTCCTAGGCTAACCTGGAACTGCAGTCCTCCCAATCTCTACTTCCAGAGTACCTCATCTTACAGAAGTGAACCACTGTGCCAACCAGTCTTTTTGTGTGTGTGTGTGTGTGTGCGTGTGTGTCTTCTTCTTCACTCTCAGTCTCTCTGTCTGTTACCCTGTTTCTTCTTCATCTCCTTCCTGCCCCTCTTCTCCTTCTTTTATTTTATTTTATTTATTTATTTATTTTGCATTACTGGTGTTTGAACTCAGGGCCTATACCTTAAGCCATCAATCTTTTTTTGTGATAGGTTTTCTTTTCAAGATAGGGTCTCACAAACTACTTGCCTGGGCTGGCTTTGAACCACAGTCCTCCTGATCTCTGCCTCCTAAGTAGCTAGGATTACAGGTGTGAGCCACTGGCGCCGAGCTTCCTTTTATTTTTGAGACATGGGCTTTAAACTCATGATTCTCCTGCCTCTGCCCCAATTGCAGGGATTATAGGTGTGAACCACCATGCTCAGCCTTTATCTTTTTGTGGTATTGGGGATTGAACCCAGGAACTCACTTTTTTTTTTTTTTTTTAATTCATATGTGCATATAATGTTTGGGTCATTTAGGAACTCACTCTTTACTTTCTTTTGAGTCTCTCTCTCTCTGTGCCAGTCCATCCTTCTCCTCTTGTCTCTCCCTCCCTCTTCATCTCTCTCTTTCTTGACCCCACTCTCCCACCCGTGAGCAGAACAATCAAGGCCATATATGCCCCCCAGTCCACATGGATTCCTAGAAGGTGGGCTAGTAGGGGCTGAGGCACAGGGCATGGTGGGGTGAAAACCGTTTCAGGGACGCCCCCTTGCCATCCTTTCCTCTTCACCCTCCCACCCACCCTGTGTTGTGATGGGAGCTGACAGGTCGTGGGCTGCAGCCGCTGCAGGGGGATTCCCTGCCGGAAGGTTTTGCCTGGAGCAGAGGCACAGCGTGAGTGTGTGTGAGCGTATGTGTGTAGGCATGCACAGGACTCCGGCATACCCACTGATGTGAGCACCAGAGTCAGCTCTGCTTGAGAGCTCAGCTGAGCGCTGGACAAAGTCACACTCAGAGAAGGACTTCCTGGTGCTGAGCTAGGGGACAACTTTTTCTTAACCTGTCCTTTTATACTTTCTCTGCCCTTGCCTAAGACAGGAGGGGGACCTTAACACTTATTAAGTACTTATTGTGTACCAGGCCTAGTGTTCAGTGGTTCCCATGCACAAACTTAGTAGACATTGTACGATTATCATCCCGGTTTACAAATTATAGCCTAGATGGGGGAGATTATCAGTGTGGAGTCACAGAGTCAGCAAATGGAAGATCCAGGATTTGAATCCAAATCTGATTTCAGAGCACTTGCTCTTAATAATAATGCTAGTTTTGTGCCTGGTATATATTACACATTTGATGATAATGATGCTGATAATATTAATAATAATAGCTAGCATATATTAAGCCCATTTTGCATGCCAGGCATGGTGGTTCTAAGTCTGTCATGTTTATGAATTAATCCACATAATCCCCACAGAAGTAAGGCCTGTTTCTGTCTCCCTTTTACAGATGAAGAAACCGAGATTCAGAGAGGTTCAGACACTTGCCCGAGGTCACACAGCTAGTAAGTGTCACAGCTGGGATTTGAACTCAGAAGAGTATAGCTTTGATATCCATGGTCTTAAGCTATAGTCAGTAGTCATTTTGAAAAATTTGGTGTGTGGACTGGGGGTGGCTCAAGTGTTAGATTGTTCAAGTGAGAAGCCTTGGATTCAATCTCTAGTACTCCAAAAAAATAGAAATAAATAAATAAATAATTGATGGGTACTTAAGGGCCCAGGTTGGGACAGGTATCACCCCTCTGGTTGGGGAAATCATGGGAAGTCTAGGAGCTCCAAGAGGGTCAGAGGAAGGGGTTAAGGCAGTGGTAATTTACCAGGTAGCATGGAACTACTGTACTCTGTTGATAGCCAATGCCAGCTGATGGGTGGGGGGGGCGCTGTCACTGATCTCTGGGATCCAGTCATATGGAGGGGAGGGGTCCACGTCTGACTCTCAGCAGGACAGCCGGGGGCTGCCAGGGTGGTGACAAGCCCCTGCATCTGGTGATCGTCTTCTTTCCTCCCAGGTCTTACCTCCCGCTCCTCCTGCCTTCTTACTGCACCATGGCTCCCGGCCCCATGTCTTGGGCGCTCCTCTCGCCGCCACCTGCTGCCCTGTCCTTTCTGCTGCTGCTCTGGGCCGGGGCATCTCGCGGTCAGCCCTGTCCTGGCCGTTGCATCTGCCAGAACGTGGCGCCCACACTGACCATGCTGTGTGCCAAGACCGGCTTGCTCTTCGTGCCACCGGCCATCGACCGGCGCGTGGTGGAGCTCCGGCTCACGGACAACTTTATTGCGGCTGTCCGCCGCCGGGACTTCGCTAACATGACCAGCCTGGTGCACCTCACCCTCTCCCGCAACACCATCGGCCAGGTGGCGGCCGGCGCCTTCGCCGACCTCCGCGCACTCCGCGCCCTGCACCTCGACAGCAACCGTCTGGCCGAGGTGCGTGGTGACCAGCTGCGCGGCTTGGGTAACCTCCGCCACTTGATCCTTGGGAACAACCAGATCCGCAGGGTGGAGTCGGCCGCCTTCGACGCCTTCCTGTCCACCGTGGAGGACCTGGATCTGTCCTACAACAACCTGGAGGCCCTGCCGTGGGAGGCGGTGGGTCAGATGGTAAACCTGAACACTCTCACGCTGGATCACAACCTCATCGATCACATTGCCGAGGGCACCTTCGTGCAGTTACACAAACTCGTGCGTCTGGACATGACCTCCAACCGTCTCCATAAACTCCCGCCCGACGGGCTCTTCCTGAGGTCCCAAGGGAGCGGGCCCAAGCCACCCACACCGTTGACGGTCAGCTTTGGTGGCAACCCTTTGCATTGTAACTGTGAGCTGCTCTGGCTGCGGCGGCTGACCCGGGAGGATGACCTGGAGACCTGCGCTACCCCCGAGCACCTTACGGACCGCTACTTCTGGTCCATCCCCGAGGAGGAGTTTCTGTGCGAGCCCCCACTGATCACCCGGCAGGCGGGGGGACGGGCCCTGGTGGTTGAGGGCCAGGCGGTCAGCCTGCGCTGCCGGGCTGTGGGTGACCCTGAGCCCGTGGTGCATTGGGTGGCACCTGACGGGCGGCTGCTGGGGAACTCCAGCCGGACCCGGGTTCGGGGGGACGGGACACTGGATGTGACCATCACTACCTTGAGGGACAGCGGTATTTTCACTTGCATTGCCTCCAATGCAGCGGGGGAAGCCACCGCTCCCGTGGAGGTTTGCGTGGTACCTCTGCCGCTGATGGCACCCCCGCCGGCTGCACCACCGCCTCTTACAGAGCCTGGCTCTTCCGACATTGCCACGCCGGGCAGACCTGGTGCCAACGATTCAGCTGCGGAGCGCAGGCTCGTGGCGGCTGAGCTCACCTCAAGCTCCGTGCTCATCCGCTGGCCGGCTCAGAGGCCGGTGCCCGGCATCCGCATGTACCAGGTCCAGTATAACAGCTCGGCGGATGACTCCCTGGTCTACAGGTAGGTGTGGTTCTGTGGCCCCAGGACCCCTTCCAAGCCCAGGCGCCCCTCCTCCCTCCCACCTCCGCCTGCCGAATTCCCTGGGCCTTCTTGCTCAGCTGGGGTTCTGGCTGGACTTGAACTTGTCATGGGTTCTCATTTGCACTGTCTACTGGCTCCTCTATTTCTGTCTCTGTCTGTTTTTCTTGCACACAGCAAATATTTGTTGAGCCATCTCCACGAGCCAGACCGGGGCTGGGCACCGCATTTTAACAGTGAAAGGACACAGCGTGTTCCCTGCCCTCGGTGGGTTCATGGTCAACATCACCAGTGACCACTGAGGCTCACTGATCGTGAACCTCAGAAGTTAAAACATTTTGGAGCATGAAACACACATGTGTATTTGCAGTTACACTTCCGTTTATAAATTATATATCAGTACTGCTAAACCAACACATTGGGCACATTACAGAAACAGAAAGCAGAAAGTATGAGAAAAATAAACATACAAGGTGCTTCTACCTTCTCTGGCTTGGAAGCCCTTGCCCCGGTGTTAACAGACCTGTGGTGCAGACTTCAGTTATTTTCCCCTCATTCCTGGATTCTCTGGCTCTCACCTCAGTCTTTCTGCTTCCTCAGACACATGGCCCTTGCTGCACTAGGCCCTGAGTTGGGTGCTGAGGCCCCAGAAGGACCAAGGGATCCAGTCTCTGCCCTCGGGAAGCTCGCAGCCCAGAAGGAAGTTACTGCCTTGGCCCTGGTTTTTCAGTAAGGCTGCTGACCCCAGGCCTGGCACACAGTGGATAAAGGGCAGTTGGCTGCCTCCTTTGCCTCTGCCTCCCCTGTCTGTGCCTGCCCACAGAATGCCAGCCCTGTTCTTGACCTCAGTTGGGGATGCCAGAGGGGCGGGGCCATTTCCTCACCTGTGGGAGCACCAGCTCCTGGGTGTGCTTAGCTTTTCACCAGAAAGCCTGCCTCTTGGCCTCCATTTTCACCCTTCCCAGTGTCCTCTTGCCACCGGCCTGGCATTTTCCCACTGTTGGCAGAATGAATAAATGACCCTCCCTTCCCCCTGTCTCTGTCTTCCTCTTGTTTTCTTTCTGAGACAGGGTTTTACCCTCTACTCGAGGATGGGCCACAAACTGGAGATCCTCTTGCCTCAGCCTTCTGAGTGCTGGGATTACACACATGCACCACCATTCTTTCTTTTTTTTTACCCAGGTCCTCACACATGCTAGGCAAGTGCTCTACCATTGAGTTACATCCCCAGCCCTCTCCCATTTTATAGATGGGGAAATTGAGGCTCTGTGGGGGAAATCATTTGCCTATGGTCATGTAGAAATCAGCAGAGCTGTTCTTTCTACGCTGAATGCACACGTAATAAACACCTGCTGTTTGCTAGGCAGGGATGGAGGACACATTTCCCATGCCCCCCACACCAACATGTATGGGGATTTTGATAGCTCCTTATCCCCAGCTGGGCAACAGACCCCACCCTCTTCCCTTCCTCTAAGGGACACACTCCCAGTCCTCCATTGCAGATCCCTGGGTGGTGGCACTGCAGGAGTTAACTCCCTCACTGCTGCCATGGGTGGAGGTGGCATCCAATCCGAAGCCTGCTCAGCTGCTTGCTCTGGTCTGGCAGCCAATGAGAAACACCTGGGCTCAGGGTTTCTTAAGGAGCCAGTCTCTGTCCTTGAAAAGGGGGAAACCCCCTAGCAACTGGTTATTTGGGGGAAGAAGCAAGGAATCCAAGTCTATAAGGAGAGGAAGAGGAGGATTTGAATTCGGGGCTTAGGTGGGGTGGCTATGGTTTGTGAAAAGGCAGGGAGGGGGGAGAGTGAGGGCGCCTTTGTGAGGTGATGGGTTGGAGGGTGGCTGTTGGTGGAGGACCCTGTTGGAGGCAGGATGACTAAGTGGGGCTTCAGGAGCTGAAAGTGGGCCAGCTGGAGGGGAAGGTGGAGAGGTAAGCTGGGTGGAGATGGGCATGGCCTTTCCAAGGGGGTGGAGCTTGTTCTGCTTGGTCTCTGGCAGAGGAAGGGGCGGCCCTTGTGAGCTACTAAGAGGCATTGCAGGAAAGGAGAACTTGCAAGGGAGGGTGGGTGCTGGGCACAGAATCAGTGTGAATTTGGCCAGCCTGGGTTCTCTGAGGTGGACATGGCCAACAGAGAGGAAAGCTGTGCTCTGCAGAAGGGGGTGGAGGCCCAGGAGAGGCCTCGAGTGGTGGGTCTTAGAGATGAGGAGAAGGGAGTAGAGTAGAAGTCCCAGTAGCGGTTTCTAAGTGAGACATTAGCTAATGGAGATATTAAATGCCAGTTTTTTGTGGTTTTTTTTTTTTTTTTTTGGCAGCACTGGGGATTTGAACTCAGGGCCTTGCACTTACTAGGCAGGCGATCTTACTGCTTCAGTCACTCCATCAGCTCTTTCTCGTAATGGCTTTTTTTTTTTTTTTTTTTGAGATAGGGTCTCGAGAACTATTTGCCTGGGACTGGCTTTGAACCACAATCCTCCGGATCTCAGCCTCCTCGGTTGCCAGGCGTGAGTCACCGGCGCTCGGTGTGCCAGGGTTTTTAAGCTCCATTTATTCCTCATATCATCTTTTTTGATATGGGGATTCTTATTTCTCCCACTCTGGAGAAATGATGCACAGAGAAGTTAAGAAACTTGTCTAAGGACACAGAGCTAAGGAGGGTCAGAGGAGAGATTCAAACCCAGGCTGTCTGGCTCCAGGACTCTTGGCCTAACCCTTCCTTACTAAGCCCTCCTCTGAGGGGAGGGGCCGGCAGTAGGAAAGGCGCATACTGCCTCCTACCTTTAACCCAATTTTGGATGGAACTTCGTGAGCATGATTCGGTGACTTCTGGTGGCACAGAACTGGGTATGCACAGAAGGAACGGTCGCCTCATATATCTGGATAAAAAAGGGACATGCAAAGGGGACCACCCTACTTGGCCCTTGTGGGTGTAGTTTGGAAGCCACAGTTCAATTTGAAGGGGAGTAGCTTGTAGCAAAGTCCCTTAATGAGTAGGAATGTGTAGTTCAAGGGCTTGGAAATTGTACCAGGAAGTGGGCGGTTTACCCAAAGATGGCATGCAGATGACGGGGAGTGGCCTGCATGGAGGAGGTCCCCCCCATCTTAAGGCAGGAATAATATAAAAGAGGAACTAGAAGATCATCTATTGTCGAATAGGAATAAGACAGGCTTTGTGAGCTGTGAACTTCAGGGTGCACCCAAGTAGGAGTAGGGATGCAAATAAGGGGGAGTGGCCAGTAGCATCAGTCCCCTTATATGGTAGATATATGTAGATAAGGGAGCTTGAATGGTAGTTGTGCTGAGGGGGCGTGTCCCTTGAGGGCAGGGCATGAAAACAGCACTCCTCCCGTGCAGGGCGGGATATGTAGATGAGAGAGTGTGAATGGCAGACACAATCCCAGTAGTTAATACACAGACAGGTGGGTCTAAGGGCGGGGCATGCAGTCGAGGGGCGTGGCCTCTAGCTGTGGCCCTGAAAGGGTATCAATAGATTGATGGGGGAGGGACTTGAATGGCTGCGGTTGTCGAAATAGAGGGCTGAGACACCACTAGCAGGGTTCAACTCCCTACTGCTCACCATGGGTGGGGCACAAAGTGAAAGGGCGTGTTTCAGAGAGGATCTAACTCCGCCCTGATTCCTCCTCTAACAGGATGATTCCGTCCACTAGCCAGACCTTCCTAGTGAATGATCTGGCGGCAGGTCGCGCCTATGACTTGTGCGTGCTGGCAGTCTACGACGACGGGGCCACCGCTCTGCCAGCCACCAGAGTGGTGGGCTGCGTGCAGTTCACCACGGCCGGGGATCCCGCGCCTTGCCGCCCGTTGAGGGCCCATTTCTTGGGTGGCACCATGATCATCGCCATTGGGGCGTCATCGTCGCCTCGGTCCTCGTGTTCATCGTTCTGCTCATGATTCGCTACAAAGTGTATGGCGACGGGACAGCCGCAGAGTCAAGGGCACCTCCAGGTCGCCCCCGCGGGTCAGCCACGTGTGCTCGCAGACCAACGGCGGCGCAGGCGCGCAGCAGGTCCCGGTTCCACCTGCTCAAGACCACTACGAGGCCCTGCGCGAGGTGGCCACCCCGGCTGCTGCCGCCGTCGCTGTGGAGGCGAAGGCCACCGCGGCCGAGGCGGCTTCCGCGGAGCCAGAGGCAGCCCTAGGACGCTCTCTGGGCGGCTCAGCCACTTCGCTGTGTCTGCTGCCGTCGGAGGAAACTTCTGGGGAGGAGTCTCGGGTCGCGGCAGGTCCTCGGAGGAGCCGTTCAGGGGCCCTAGGGCCTCCAGCTTCAGCGCCCCCGACTTTAGCTCTGGTTCCTGGGGGGGCTACGGCCCGATCAAGGCCGCAGCAGCGCTATTCCTTCGACGGGGACTACGGGGCGCTCTTCCAGAGCCACAGTTACCCGCGCCGCGCCCGGCGGACAAAGCGCCACCGGTCCACGCCGCACCTGGACGGGGCCGGAGGGGCGCGGCCGGGGAGGATGGAGACCTTGGGCTGGGCTCCGCCAGGGCACGCCTGGCCTTTACCAGTACCGAGTGGATGCTGGAGAGTACCGTGTGAGCGGCGGGCGGGCAGACGCCCAGCTGCTGGGACGCTGGGGCGGGACGCGGGGAGGAGCGCACGCCAGCTCGTGGGACTGGAGCCGAGACCCGTCCCCCCATCTCCTCCCTGGGGGGGCGGGGTCGCCCAGCTGCGGCTCGAGGCCACGCCCCTCGCGCCCTGGGGATGGGGCGGGCCGCCCCGCCCCGCCCCCGTCCTCGCCCCCTCCTACCCCTTCCCCCGCGCGCTCGCGGACCTCGCTGGAGCCGGTGCCTTACACAGCGAAGCGCGGGGAGGGGCGGGGCCCCCCGACACTGCAGCACTGAGACACGAGTCCCCTCCCTCAGCCCGGGACCCGGGGCAGGGGCGAGGGGCCCATTCCTTGTATCTGGCTGGACTAGATCCTATTCTGTCCCGCGGCGGCCTCCAAAGCCCCGCCCCCATCCTCCCTTTCCCGGTCCCGTCGGGTCTGGCTTGGGGGGGGTGGTCCTCCTTTCTCTCTACCCTCGTCTGTCTCGATCCCGCCCTCTGTCGTCTTTTCTTACCTCTCTGTCCTGCCCTACTGTCTCCTTTCTCTGTTCCATGATTGTCTCCTTTCCCTCAGCCCTTCCCTGTTTGTCCAATGTCCCTGTCTGTCCGGATTTCCTCTCCCCACTACCCAGTCTCCCGGGCAGGTCCCACCGGAAGGACCAGACTCTCCCCTATGCCTTCCTCGTCCCCCCCCCAATAAATCCCCACATGAACAAAGTCCAAAACCAAATCCTCCTCTCTACCGGAGCCGGGACCCTCCGCCGCAGCAGAATTAAACTTTTTTCTGTGTCTGAGACGGTCTTCTCTGCTGACCTGTGTGTGTGTGTCCGTGTGTCTTGGAAGGGAGGGTGACCCCCAACTGCAGCATGATTGAAGGAAGGATGACACTGGGGCTGGGGAGATGGACAGACAGACTCCAGTCTTTTGAGCTATTCATAGGTGGGGATCACAAAAATAAAACAATACCAGTTAACAGGTGCCCGTGTGTGCTAAGCACTAAAATCATAATCCTTGCTACAACCCTAGCACACGGGTATTTTATCCCATTTTACAGGTGAGGAAATGGAGGTCCAGAAAAGTTCAATGATTTCCCCACAGTGACAAATTTGAGATTTAAAAGGAGCAGGTGGACGCCGGGGGCGGGGTGGGAGGGGTGGCTCAGTGGTAGACTGCTTGCCTCAGCATGAGTGAGGCCCTGGGCCCTACAGCCAGCACTGCAAAAATAAATCAACGAATAAAAATCACCTGTAGAAAGGCAGGGGTGGAGCTGGGATTTAAGGAGTCAAGGCACACACCTGGATTCCCAGCTGCTCAGGAGTTGTTTTTTTGTTTTGTTTTTGGTGGGACTGGGGTTTGAACTCAGGGCTTCATGCTCTACCACTTGAACCACACCTCCAGTCTATTTTGCTGTAGTTATTTTGGGAGGTTGGAGTCTCATGAACTATTTGCCTGGGCTGGCCTTGAGCCATGATCTTCCAGATCTCAGCTTTCCAAGTAGTTAGGATTATAGGTGTGAGCTAGTGGTGCCTGGCTCTTAGGAGGTTCTTGTGCCTAGAAGTTCCAGGAAGGAAGGAAGGAAAGAAGGAGATGGAGGGAGGAAGGGAGGGAAGGAAGGAAAGGAAGAATGAAGGAAGGGAATAAGGAAAGAAAGAAAATGATAAATAAGAAGGGCAGATGGCCTGACTCCTGGTCTGCCCTCCACCTCATCCCTTTCTGCTGGGCAGACTCTGAATGTTCCTTTCCCTCTCTGAGCCCTCATAACTGTGGAGCAGGTATCCTCCAACACAGGAAGCAGAACCAGAGCCTGTGCCAGGCTGAGAGAGGGGTGAAGTCCCTCCCTTGTGGGTCACCCTTCCTGGCCCTGGGCCCCTATGAATAAAACAGAGGAGCTGGCAGTTTGCCTGTGGGACTGTGTCTGGAGGTTGGGGAATGGCCCTGATGACAGTGGCTGAACAGTGGTATGCAAAACCAGATTGATGAGAGGTTCAAAGTTGGGCACAGAACCCCGGCCTGGTGGGAGAGGTTAAATTGGGCATAAAACACCATCCTGGCGAGGGAGGTTAGCGTTGAGCATAGAACCACCAGGGAGGAGTGACAGAGAGCATTCTGGTCATTCTGCCTGGATTGAGCAAGGTCTGACTGGGGGTGGGGGTGGGGTAATGGGCAAGGTCTCTCAGGTGAGGTCCAGGGCTCTGCCTGCGGAGGGATAGCTGGTTGGGGACAGTGGGGTTTTGGAGCATCTCAGCCTAGCACAGGCTCTGCAGTGAAAACTCCGCCCTCATCCTAGGGAAGGAGGAAGGCTTCAAGCCAGCCAGGGGCCCCCTGAGGCCTGGGGAGGAGGAGAGAGAGACAGAAATAGAAACAGAGCAGGAGGGAGGATGGAGGATGGAGCTGGGCAGACAGGGTGGGAGGCAGCAAGGACAGCCACACCAGAGAATCCCAGGCCAAGAGGCTCCCTCACCTGGTGGCTCAGCCACACTTATCCATGACAGTCACGACACCTGGCTACTAAGTGCCACCACCAGCCAGGCACTGTGCTCACTTCTGATGCCTGGAATAGAGTGTGCAACCCAGACTTGGCACATAGCCCCCACCAAATGCAGTGGTTCCCATAATAAGCAGGATAGCATCTAAAATCTGCAACTGGGAGACTGCAGTGTGAATGACCAGTTTTCTAGATGAGGAGACTGAAGTTCAGACAGGTTAAGGAACTTGCCCAAGATCACACAGCCAGTAAGCGAGAGCCATGATTGGACAGCTGACTGCCTCTGAATCCTGCACACCTAGCCATCAGATTATATTGTTTCTAATTCACTCAATAAAGTTTTATTGAACACATACTATGTGCCGGGCTTAGTGCAGAGGGTACAGCAACGAGCAACACAGATGAACAAAACACAAGAAAGCCCTGCCCTATGGAGCTTTGATTCTAAAAAGAAAAGGGGGAGGAAGTAAATTAAAAAAAAAAAAAGAAAAGAAAAGCAGGTGGAAGCCAGGAGTACTGGCACATGCCTGTAATCCTAGCTACTCAGGAGGATCATTGCTTGGGCAAATAGTTGCCAAGACCCTATCTCAAAAAAACTCAACACAAAACAGTGTTGGTGGAGTGGCTCAAGTGGTAGAGAGCCTGCCTAGTGAGTGTGAGATCTTGAGTTTAAACCCCAGTACCACCAAAAAAAAAAAAAAAAAAAAAGTGATCCTGTAGCAGGTGCTAGTGACTCACACCTGTAATCCTAGCTAGTTGGGAGGATGAGATCAGGAGGATCTTGGTTCAAGGCCAGCCTGTGCAAATAGTTCGTGGACCTCATCTCCAAAATGGACTGGAGGTGTGGCTAAAGTGGTAGAGCACCTGCTTTGCAAGCTCCAAGCCCTGAGTTCAACCCTAGTCCACCAAAAAAAAAAAAAAAAATAGTGTGATTCTACCTAAGCATGGTGGAACCTTTCTGTAACAAGGTGGAGACCCTGGGTTCAATCCCAAAACCAAACCCTAATTCCACCCAGTGCGGTGGCATAGCTCTATAATTCCAGCACTTGGAGGGCTGAGGCAGGAGCATTTCAAGCTCAAAGCCAGCCCGAGTTACATAGTGAGAAGACCCTCTCTCTTAAAAAAAAGTGTGGAAGTGGGGCTAAGGGTACAAGTCATTGGTACAGTATTTGCCCAGCATGAGCAAGGTCCTGGGTCTGTCCCCAGCACCACTCTCGCACACACATGCACACATACACACGCACGCACACGTGCGCGCGCACACACATACACACACACACACGTGTGGAAGACCCATCGAGGCTCCAGACATTGGGACACAGAGGCAAACTATCCACACTGGGTCTTCCCCCTCCTTTTATTGTTGTGCTGGGTGGGGGACACTGTAGCATTTACAAAGGTCTTTACAATGTATCAAATACGTCATACTTGAATTTACACCCCCCACCCTCTCTTTTATCCCCCACCACACACACTGGATCTTACAAGCATAGTGAGATGGTTGCTGCTTTTCTCTGCCAAATTTAGGGTGGTTTGTTATGACTTGGAAGTTGTTTGTGTGTAGTAGCTGGAGCTGTGGCTGCCATCTTAGGATCATGAGGTAGCTAGAGTGAGAATCAGTCAACAGAAATGGAAAGGACCTAGTTCCCAAGGACATTTCTATCTCTCTCTCTCTCTCTCTCTCTCTCTCTTTCTCTCTTTAATTAGCATATATTAATTGTACAAAGGGCTTACATTGTGATCTCCATGCATGCATATAATACTTTGATCAAATTTACTCCCTCTATTACCTTTTCTTTTCTCTAGTTTATTTTTATTTTTGGCAATACTGGGGTTTGAATTCAGGGTCTCATGCTTGCTAGGTAGGTGTTCAACCACTTAAGCCATTCCACCAGCTCTTTTTTTTTTTTTTTTGTGTTGTTGTTTTTTTTGAGATAGGGTCTCATGAACTGTTTGCCTGGGCTGGCTTCAAACCTCGAGCCTCCTGATCTCTGCTCCTAAGTAGCTAGGATTCCAAGAGAGAGCCATCACTGCTGGCTCTATTATTCTTTCTTATTCCCCTCCCTGCTTATCATACAATTTTAACAGGTTTCATTATTCTATTATTTTTTATTTTTTGGTGGGACTGGGGTTTGAACTCAGGGCTTCACATTTGCAAAGCCACACCTCCAGTCCATTTTGCTCCGATTAGTTTGGAGGTGGGGTTGATTAACTATTTCCTTGGCTGGCCTCAGTCCTCTGACTGTGCATTCCAATGTCAGTGTTGCAAAGAGCTAGGATTACAGGTGTGAGCCACTGGCCCCTGGAGTCAGTATTCTATTTTTATACATGAAGTACTTCGGTCCTATTCAACCCCGTACCCTCTCTTTTACCCCCTCCTCCTGGTGCCTCCACCTCCAAACAGTCCCTTGTTTACACTCTTGTTATGTATTTTTTTAAGTTTAGATTCCATGTATAAGACAGAGTGTGATATTTGTTTTCCACAGTCTCGCTTATTTCACTTAATACAATTTCTGGTTCCATTCATTGTCCTGAAAATGGCATAATTTTGTTAATACTCCATTGCATGTGTGTGTGTGCAT